CGTGTCTGCATTATTAGACAGTGGCACAGTAACCTTTAATGTTCTAGTTTAGATTTTACAGCTTAACTGTGCAGTCAGACAAACAGGATCACTGAGACCACACTGAGCAATGAAATGATGAACTAATTTCCTCATTCGTAAAGTGTCAGAGAGCCAATTCATTGCAGTTTTGATTTCTACAAACACTGAAATGTCAGGAAGTTGCAAGTTTGCTATTCTGTGTTGTTAATATGAGCACTTTTACAGTAGCATTTAATGTCAGCTCAGCATTATGAATAGGCCGACTCTGTGAACAGTAATGCAGAATCACATCAAATGTCTCTGCAGAGGGTTTAAACACAGACTCATCATTCGTTGGTCTCAGTGAGGATCTGGACATAGTGGAAACATCTCAGTGAACATCAGGCTAAAATGGTTTTAATGCATGAAAACTAAACTAAACTTATTGTAAAGTGACATTTTAGATCTAACCTGTAGACTGATTTGTAATCTGATTACATCTGATATTCAGTCATTGAATGCTGTCAGCATTTTGGTCTGGAATCTTAATGGAGACGTGGGCTGTCTCCAGACCTCAGTCCGATCTGTGGAGCGAGCTGAAGCTGGAGCTGAAGAGGAGAAGGCCAACAGTGCTGCTGAGATATGTGCAAACCTGGTCACCATCTGAAAGGAACGTCTGTGCTGTTCTCCACCAAATACTGAGTCATCGTTTGCTCGGGGATCAAATACTTATTTCACTCAATGACATGAAAAGTTCATTTGGAACTTTTATGTAACATGTTTTTCATTTTTGTTGGTTTATGAAATGAATTAGATTGTTTATTTCTTTGTAATGAGCCAACTTATAAACTCACCAGTGGGTGTGAAGTAACCTGTAATTATTATATGACATGGCCAGTCTGTGGCCACATGCATAAAACGTTATATAATGTTATATATATATTACTGTACCTTGAACATATTACATGAACCAATGAAATGTGAGGGATTTTGAGCAGGATGAGCTACGGCTGATCATTCATTGTTGTTGTTTCTTTCAGGAGTTTCACTTCCTGTTTGCTAAACAGAGGATCTGAGTGCAAATGGTATGATTTATATATGCAGCACAACATATTGTTTTTCTGTCCAATAGTACGGCACAATTTCTACTAAGCTGATTGATCAATAAACATTAATCCTCCACTGTCTGTGTGAACATAGCTCCTCCCATTTCAGTCTTTTGATTTGATTTCTTTATGTTTGGAGTGAGACCTTGTAGTTTTTCAAAGGTTTTCTTCGGACTGTTTATGTTAAGCCACTTCACACTGACCTCTGCATCATCCCGTTCGGGTTGCTGATTACAGATGTTCATGTCTCGTTCCTTGCAGCAAGCTGAGGTGTTAATCAGGAGCAGCTTTAACCCCAGTCTGAAGTGGTTCTTCCGGAGTCACAGTCAGGATCAGGAAGAGAAGAACTTTGTAGTGGCTCACAACCTGGTGTCCCGCTCCTCTGAGCGCCTGCTGCGTCTGCAGCAAGCGCTTCTTTCTGTGGCGCCTCAGTGGCAGCTGGTGGGCAGTGCACAGCTGTCTCAGGTGAATTTATACAGTTTGCAGTGTAACTGGATTGTGATCGGTGTGAGGAGAAGAACACGAGTGAATGAAAGCTCTCGTAGTGCAGCTTAATCTCTTCAAAGATTATATCCTCAAAATTCTGACTCTTTGCCATTTTGGGATGAGGTCATAATATTGAGCATTGGAACAAACATCGATCTTGTTATAACTGAGTTCATAATCTCCTCTCCTCACTCCCACCTCCTCCCCCGTCTAATCAGGCCTGTTTTAAAGGAATGCCAGATGAAGCTGGGGTTCTTCTCCTGCCCTCCTCATCCTCCCTGCAGGGTAAATACAGAGCTCAGTGGAGACTCCTGGAGCAGCGATCCCTGCTGATTTTTATACACGAGTACACGAGGAGGGCTCGCCTAGCAGCCGTTTACATATCCAGTGTGAGCAGACTGTTGGAACATCATCAGCAACACCTTGCACCTCAGCAGGTTAGGCCGAGCTCTCAGCACTGTGATTATTGAAATGACTGTGTGATCTAAAGCTTACTGAGCACTGTGTCATATAGTCACACGCTGCACATCACACTGTGCCAGAGGCTACCAGAGGGAACTGTCTTCACATGCACCTTCACTGGGTGATGTAAGGAAAAGTCTGTAACAGATCACAGAAGTCCGCCACAACCCTTAGTTGGATAATTGTTAAAAATGGTTGCAGGAATGCTTCTGTAACGTCGAACATTTGACATTTTTGTCAAAGAGTTTTAGATTTCTGTATCGCCACCAGTGCCTGTTCACACAGTCATTCTGCTCTCTTTTCCAGACCCCGTCAACTTGGTCTTCATGCAGGCTCGATCTGGGTTCACTGAGTCAAGAACTCAGGGTTCATCTCAATCACTGGTCTTGCCTGTTTTCCAAAGTCCAGTCTGACCACTTCTTGAGACGTGCTGCTGGTCGACATACCAGGCTACTGCTAAAGATCAAGGAATCTCTGGACTTACTTGGTCTGCAGGCTCTGGTTTTGATGGAACACTATGTCCAAGCAATCCTGTCCTCTGTATTCCAGACTGACTTGGACTCTGTACCAAAAGAAGTCTTGGAGGATATTTTAACAGGGACTTATCATTATAACCAGGTTGTTGATGAACAGAGAGGTCAGCACAGCGCCTCCAAGCTAAAGACTGCAGTAATGCAGCAGGCACGTTTTTCCACATTGGATTCCAGTCTTCCAAGGATCAAAAGCCATCACCCTTCTCCTTTCTCAGTCAAAGAGTTAATGATGATTTTAGCAAGCTATCATGCAGAAATGGCAGCCAAGCAGCTGCACTACTGGGCTTCAGAGCCGCCCTGTTACTTCTGTCAGATCCACAGCAACCATGAGACTTGCACGTGTGCTCAAAACTCCACAAGTCTCAGCTGTGCGATTTCCACATTGAGATCTGAGTGGACCTGGGAGCAGCTACATTATACATATCTAATTTCCTCTCCTCTTTTAAGTCGTCCCACCCTCCAGATCTCTTGCCAAAATAAAAATACAACACCTCCTGTTTACACGCCTGATGTCCATCTGAACAAGCCAGTCTTGGAAAATCGTCCCTCTGTTTCAGCCAATCCCACAGACACAGAACATAAAGAAGAGAACTCTGAAAAAGAACAAAGAACAAAATGCACGTCCCATTCTGCTTTTACTCAGACCGGTGTAGAAGCTTTGGACTTGGTTCAACCTGATCCGACACGTTTAGAAAGCGGCGCACTTCTGCAGACAGCTTCACCTTTGTTAATGAGCTCCCAACATCTCCGAGGCATGCCACCGTCAAGGATTTGCCAACTTCAGCATTCCTCAGCAGAGCTGCTTTTTCAGGTGTTTGTTTCGTCCAGTGATCTGCTGGCTCCACTGGTTTCACACACACCCACACCAGAGAGACTCAATGAACAGCCGCTTCAAACCCCAGTAACAGACGTGGTAAATGGGAAGGTTGACTCAACGATCTTGAGCGCTCGATTACCAAATACACCCGATCCAGTGGAATTACATAGAGAGAGCTCAAAACTGAACAAAGACCAAAACGTGGAGAGAATTCAACAGGAATGGGCTGAACTGGAAATAACTGTGCCAGATCCCACCAGCAGGTATGGTCACACCATTGTTACCACCTACCAATGTTACTGGTAGTGTTTCTGCATGCGTCCGTGTCATTCTTTGTAGGGATGTTGAGTCATATCTGCCTTACATGCTGGGCCAGACCTCTACTTTATTGTTAGAAGCAGACTATGACTCGTACAAGTGTGGTGTTTATTGTAAACATATAGAAAGTGCTGTATGAAGATGTGTCACATTTGATCTCTGACCTCTTCGTCAATAGAGGTGGGAATCACCATACATCCCACGATACGATATTATCACAATACTTAAAGCACGATATGATATTATTGCAATTTTTTAAAATATTTTGCGATATTCATTTTATCTAATATCAAAGTCTCACACTCAGTCTTTCTCTCATTTCAGTTTTATTGTTGACAAACTGAACGGTTTGTATTACAGTCTAGTCCAACTTAACTGAACGCAACCATCTGGTACAATTATAGCTATTCTGAACTATGCAATTTATGAAAACTATGCAGCCCCTTCAGCAACTGAAGAATTTGAAAGTAAATTAAAACAAAATATAATTTTACATTAAATAAAAAAGTTTTAAACTTAATTAAAATAAAACATGTCTTAAATTAAAATAAATAAACTGTCATGTTTATTGCTGCCATAAAAAAAGTTAAACACATTTGGACAGTAAAGGAATGTCAGGATTCTTGCTCAGAAAAAGGATCAACATGCTCTGAAGTCAGAGCACAAAAACCTTTTTGTAACAAAATATCGATTTCTGCTGTCCCTGTATCGATACATTATTAGCAAACAAAATATCACCATACTACACAGTATCCATTTTTCCCCCACCCCTATTCGTCAAGGTCAATAAATTGATCTAAAGATCAAAGTAGTAATAATGCTATATAGAACTGCTTTCTTACCGCCTGTTTGTATAAATGATACATGGCAGGTTCTAAATAGCAAGTTACTTTGTTCCTTTGACGTCTTCTTCAAGGTCAATAAGGTTCAACTTTAATTAGTTTAAATTTTTCATAAAATTAACAACAATGAAAACATGATCTGCATTTATGGGGATTCAAAATATCACTCTACAGTTTCCAGTATGTTTACACTCAGGTCTAATTTCTGCCACATCTTTCAAGTTGACCCCAGAATGTGTTATTTTAAAGAAAGTGTTGTTAATAGAAATGGAATGAACTGCCTTGTTAGTCAGAAATATGCTGTTATATCCTGATCGATCTTGATTCATTCGGGGAATATTTTGAAGTTCATGTAATGATGAAGTTAGTGCTGTTTTGCCACATGCATGAATTTGCACAATTTTCTTGCTTTGAAGTAAGATTGACAAAGTAAACCATGAAACAAAGACGGAAAGCAGTTTTCTCCTGACAGAAGTTGTTTTTTTGTTCTTCCCAGTTCTTATGTTGTCCCTGTTGGGCATTCCCAAACTAATGATTATAGTAAGCTGGACAACTGCAGGTGGAGGACAGTCGCACACAGTCTATCTGATAATATCATGCATTCATTCTGATTCGTACTGTCTTGAAAGCGACGCATTAAAAATGCAGACTCGGGCCAAGAAACACTGAAACACTGTTTCTGAAAAAATGATCATTCAGGCATGAAACCAACACCTTCAGATGGTGTAGGATTCATGGAAATGATTGCATGTTCATAAGCTACTACAGTGTTTCTATCAAAGGATGGTTAAACACTAAGAGGTGATTTGTATCTTTCAGATCAGAGAAGGAGGAGATGTTTGAAGCAGACACAAAGACACTGGAGCCGGACCTTGTTTGCTGGTCTCACTCAGTCCAGTGGTTAGACCTGGGTGAGTCTCTGGTCTTTGCGGATCTGCTTGAACAGTATCATACCCTGCTGAGGGCTTTCTGCAGCAGAGCCCTGTGGCTGCAACTACAAGTCCCTGTAGCAGGACACACTGCAGGAAGCCTCAACCTCCAGGAGCACCACAGGGGTTTCCAGGTCATCCACCGGCTGTGTCAGGCTTCAGACACGGGTAAGAACATGGCCTCAGCAGCCACTGTGCCCACTGTCTGATGATAGCAGACATGTGGATACATAAAGTACAGTCCAGGCTGAGCGTGTAGTGCTGTAATGTTGTACACTGCTTTCCTTCTTACGTTTACTTTGCTGCTTTGTCTACAGCAGCTGTTTTGTGTAACCTCTTCATATTTTGTCTTCCTTTGAAATGGACACATCTCTGCTGCCTGTTGTCTTATCCATGTTTGTGATTGGTCACATGAATCTATGAGCACATTCACATGAAAGTGGGGGCAGCACCTTTGATAACTGATGCTGATAACCATCTTTGTGTGACTGCTTTGTCTAAACTTGGAGTCAGTGTACAGAAGATCTTTCATTTATCAGTTATGTTCAATATTTATGAAACTCTGGGGAAAGGCTCTCAGATACTCTGAGACTTAATGATGATCTGCACAATCTGAGTGCCTGATCGTTGTGTTTGCTTCTGGCACACATTTGGACCTGATGGATGGGGCATGCAGTGTGTTATCCCACAGCCTCTCATCAGTAATGATCACAGCATGTGCTGTCAGAAGGAGCTGGGGGAGCTTCACATGGTTGCTGGTAGGAAGCTTCTCTCTCAGGTTAACAGCAAAAACTCAGAGAGCAGCTCGACTGCAAAACTCTTTGAAAGGAGAAAAGCGAGCATATGAATTTGTGTTGTGTGTGACACTCCTTGTTGTGTGTTGTAGGTCAAGTTCCAAAGGAGAGTGAAGTCATGCTGGAGGACCTGAGTCTGTGTGTGTTACTGGTTACTGCACATGCTCAGTGGGACTATGGTTAGTGCGCTTAGACTCACACACTGATCGGTCTGCTGCTCTGACCTTACATATCACGTTTTTACATATATGTCGTTTTTGTTTTAGAC